ATATGTTTTTTTTTTTTTTGAATAAAAATCTTTCCCCTCACCAGGAAATTATTCAATTTTTCTGTTTTCTTTTGCGCATTTACTCAAATTTATACACTATCATTTATCCTAGTGAATAAAACAAAATAAAACATAAACAAATCACCTAGATAATCTTGAGGTGAGAATACAGTGACTGGAATGGATAGTAAAAATTAGTACCAAGCTCAACAATATTGTCCAACAATGATGTTTGTATACATCTAAAATATTTCAATTTAAAAATATAGATATTATGGACAAATTATAGTTGTATAGTTGTCATTGGTTCTGGTAGTCTCGCTTATCTATACCCAATAAATACAACACCATGAAAAATATTTATTTCTATTCTTTCCCTCACCCAAAAATAATTTCATTTTTTAAGAGTATTTTTTGTTCATTTATTAGAATTATTTTCAACTACCATATGACAAATCATCCATTAGATAGGAAAATTAGTAGTGAGCTCAACAACAAGTCAACAATGACTAAATATAGTATACAAAGTATACAACCAACGATTATACCAACAAAGAAATCGAACAAACTCCAAAATGATTCAGATTAACTAAAGTTCAGGGGTCAAAGGGAAAGCTTTTCAAGACCTCCCAAGACTTGTAGCTTTCTTCAGAAAAAGGTTTAATTTGTAGTTAAAATCTACAACATGATTTGCAACATATTATATTAAAAAAAAAAAATTGATATCCTCATTTATTCTACAGATCCTTGTAACTTTAGATAACACAAAGTCTTCATCAGGGCTTTAAAGTAACTGCAACTAAAACATAAGAAGCAGAAGCTTGCAATTTGAATCAATTGATTATATAAAAGAAGAAAACTGCTTAACGAAACTAACCATGCTATACTCAACTTGGTCAATGGTTAATTTGAACTAATTAGTTTATAACAAAGAGTCAACACAACAAACAACCATTATGTACTGACTGTAAATAGCTATCTGATAGTAATAACAGCAATGAAAAAACAAAGAAAGTTAACAATGCCAAAGAAAACTTTCTAGTTGTTTGAGTGCAGAGCTTGGTAAAGTATGGTGGAAAATTCTCTCAATGTATATAAAGATGAAGTACAATGGAGACAATCACATCAGCACAATGCTTTACCCATGAAGCAAGGAAAATGAATCTTTATTCTTCTTCCAGTAGTACGCTGAAAATCACATAAGACCTAATAATAGCAAAATAGCATTTAATTTTATTCCCTGTAGTCAAATTGTTTCTGAAGCCAAGTGCAAAATCAAAAGATAAAATAATGTCAAGTGAAGTATCATATCCACATAAGGTAAAACCCTTTTAACAGAACATACGCCAAGGAAAATTAAAAAAGAATTTTGAAAAAAGAGAGCTACTTAGTTACATACCTTCACTCTTTCTCGAAAGTAGAGTAAGCTTCCATCAGTTTCAACAAGCTCATCATATAGTCTTTGACGTTTACCAAAATTCAAAATCATAACTCATACATCACGAACGGAAGAATAGCAACAAATCCCTGATTAGATTTTTGCATTAGAAAAAAAAATTAACATGGCATGGTAGGTATATAAGTATAATGCCGTGTTGATATTCAAGGAACAGATGAGTGTATTTTCACTTTGAAGTTTGAACACATCACACTTCACATATTATCAATTTCGTTCTTTTCAAAATCTAAGCGCACAAACGCACCTCATTTTTTATTTTTATTTTTCCAATTTTTGTTCTTTTAAAAACTTAAACTGCAGCATAATGAGTTTCTCTGAGAGGGACTCGAATCTCATTCACTCCCAGAGACTAGGAGCGAAGTTTTGTTTCTTATTAACTAATTTTTTTAACTAATTAATGAATTTAAAAAAAAAAAAAAGTTGTGTGTGAGTTTATGGCCTCTCTGAGTTATACTGAGTATAAGCTACGGTGCATTGGCAATCTGGAAGGTTTCAATACAAAATGATAGATCTTACTAGGAGATTTACGACGTGACTCGGTAAAGTTGGTGTCGCCTTTGAAGAATATTACTCGACGCGAGAGAATTTTGTTTGTTTTTTTTTTTTAAGCTGATGGGTTTAATCCAAGGATTAAACGTAGTAAAAGTTTTGATTGCAGATAAACTGCCGAATGATTCGGACTTTGATTTTTGCAGTCGAGCTTAGAACTCAGTTGCAGCGACGCCTCTTGATGTGTTCCATCGTGTTGACGAACTACAGGTGCATTTTAACAAATTACATACGTGCATTTTGAGTGGATACAGATCCGTGAATGATTTCGAATAAGGACGGATGTTTTGAGAAGATTTCAGTTAATCAAATCATCGAGGCTTGGGACTTCGTGATTGAGGTTGTCCCCAATTAGTAAGTAGTGTTCATGATCAATTGTCAAATTAATGTCATGTTGATGCCAGCACAACCAGACAACCTCAATCCCAAAACCCCATGCATCGATGATATCATCAACCGAAATCTTTCTCAGGTGTTCATGATTTCAAAATATTCGAACCGCTACCCGTATCCAAAATGCACGTGTAATTTATGTGGCAAAGGTTGTTCGTCAACACAATGGAAGCCATCCAAAGAGGCTTCGCTGCTGCAAAAAACTCACCAAAATCATTTGCAATCTCTTTTTTTTTTTTTACCAAATTTAATCCATTACCCATTAACTTAAAAAAACTAATTTTTTTTTGCGGTGGGTAATCGTCCTCAAAGGCACGTCAGGTAATCGTCCTCAAAGGCGACTTAACCGAGGCACGTCGTAAACTCACACACGAGTCACGACTGTTTTTTTTTTTTCTTAGAGTCATTAATTAAATTAGTTAATAAGAAACAAACCTCAAACGACTGACGGAGTTGCTCAAGGCCCTACAAGAGAAACTCATTATGATCTCTGGACAGAAACCCATTAGATGAAGAATACCATCTGGATAGAAACGACACCACAGCCCTACACAGAATCACAAATAATTTTTTTTAAGAATAATATTAACATGTTTGACAAGAATAATAATGCAATAAATAAAGACTTGTATAATTGCAACCAGAAGTGTTCATTTACCATCCTTTTTACTAACAGGCGGATAGTCTGAAGTATTCACCAGTGCCAACTTTGCAAGAACATAGTCATCATCCGATAAATAGAACTCGACAAAGAAAACGAGTAATTCCTCTTTGGGGCCCATTCTAGCATCCAAGTTCATATGCACCCAAGTCCTCTTCTTTTTTAGCGATGAAGTCCATTAAGACACCAAGGCCTTCAAACTTAATGCATTCCAGAGCCATTTCAAGCTTCAAGTTCGTACCCTGGATTAGTATATTTATCAAGTAATTTTTTTTTTTAAAAAAAAAAAGGAAAAAAAAGATAGGTCACGAACGTGTCATGGAAAAAAAACAAAAAATAAAACTCAAAAAGCGGGTTAAGTGGACTAAAAACATTTTTCTCATTGTAGTCCTGTATTGCGAATTCTGCAAACTCGGTAGCATCTTGTTCAGACAATATGATCATCTCACAGATCCTTTTTCTGCATGAAATACAAGTAATTACAAATTAATCAATTTCCAACAGAAAAACATATATAATAAGTAAGAAGATGGTTACAAAGAAGAACATAGATTACAAAGGATAAAACCCAGCACGAAATCCTGGACTCGGACGACAACTGTAAAATTCGCAACGAGAACAATATTCCCCTGCAGCAAACCATGAAACCGAAATCACTGGTCGGACAAATAATACTGGATTTTATGTATCATTATTTTTTTTTAGCATGGTTTAACACAAATAATAATATACTACAGCAGTATAACACAAAACAATAAAATCTACAACTAAGATAAGACAGAGATTGAATACTACAAAAAGCACATATAAAGATTGAATATAGCTTTTGTTACATCACGTATTCACATGAATTCTACCAAATATCTTAAGAAATACTACCTCAAAATATGTCTAGATACGTAACAAAATGGATGAATCAAAAAAGTCAAAACGACATCTAATTTAAAAAGGAGGGAGTAACAATTATCACAATTAAAAAAAAAAATCATATCCACAAAATGCAAGTTGACACAAAAATCAAATCTCAGATAAAACTAGAAAAAAATAAAAACATCAACAAACAGGACATAATTAACCTCCATGATAAGTAGGATCCACGAGTGACAATTTAGTATGATGAAGCTCCCTATCAACGGGATATGATTCAGAAAACAGCACAAGTGTCTCTTTGTCATGTTAACCCACATTCTCATTTAGAAATTAGAGACTAAGTTGACTGTGAAAATTAGAGATTAAGTTTTTTTTTTAAGAAAAAACAATTACCTGACATAATCTCACAGAGAATTCTCAAGCCTACAAAATTGAACCAGCAGATGGAGTCGAGGAAAATAATATGTATAGAACAAGAGATAGAAAATACATGTGTTCTTACATAACAAATGAAATTATGAACACATCCGTGCACATGTATGTATAACAGCCCACTGGTCGAACAGAACTATCTTTTTATAGTTATCCATACCAAAACACACTATTTCAGAAGCCCATAGCATAAAGCAATAAACATTGAAAATATCCAATTACAGAATAGATAGTCAGGGTGTTTCTAAGTTCAAGGAAGCCCAAATCAACAGAGCAATGGACATTGTAAAAACCAGGTAAAGGAAGGTCCCATGATCACTATAGATTTTAGAGACCTTAGTCTCACTTGAACTGCTTTTTAGAGGCTCAGCAGGTTAGTAAGGACCATCAAATGCTGATCATAAACACACACTCGTGTAAAGAAGAAGTACCTTTATTATTTCATTGTATTGTGTTCCAACTTTTCTATCCCACTCTACTTCATACAGGTAAGGAGTAGGTTTGTGATGCACCCATTGTCTACCTAAAGGAAATGCCATTGAGAATTCAACATCCAAGCACACAAAAGAAAATATAGGCAAAACTCAAGAACATTAAATTAGAAATCCAGTAAGGTGCTGCAACATATGTTTATCAATTGGTAAGATAATACTTTAACCCTGAAGGAAATCATACCGTATCAAGGTCTTCCACATTGAAAAGAGGATAGGGAAAATATGTCACGAAATGATGCAAAAACAGTAATGCTCATGTGTCATTCCCCATCATTACCATACGCTATCCGTGTTGAACCAACTACAGGCAAGACTTGTTGAAAATGCATGAGCTAGTTGATTTAAAAGAAAGAAACAAAGAAATAAAACTAAATATTCAAGATGTTCATTAAGCTATAAGCACAATTGATTATTCACCACTTGAACTACAGAAAGCCAAGAAGCCCAGCACAAAAATAACCCACCACTTTTACATTGAGGATAAAAAACCATCCACACACAGTAGCCACAAAACTTTTTTCCTTGTTAATTACACTTAATATAATATAGAAGTAAAGAAAATCAAATAAAACCATATCATTTCAGGAAAGCAAAATAAAATAAAATATATTGAATAAGATTTATGTAAAGTCGTATTCAATAAAGTTCTATCCCAAATTTTTTTAGTTCATTAATTTATGGTCGGTCAACTTTTATTTTTATATCGTTTTAATTTCAAACTTATGTGAACTATTTGTTCATATTATCTATATGGAAGTTAAACTGAGGGAAGAGACGATTATCACCCACTCTCTATCCAGCACGTCATGGATGCAGTACCGGAATACAAAAACAAGAGAAGTATGCTTAATGTCATCGGCCCGCAGCTCAACGATAAAATAATGGAGTTTTTAATGGATGAGGGTGTTGCTTTCCAAGAGGATTACCAAACTAATGGCAAGTGGAATCCTCGTAACCATGAGAGGTCTGCGCTGAGGCGACGACGGGAGCATTTGAGCGTTGCGAAGAAGTTGCTCGATTATAATATAGACAAACAACCTACGACATCAGGCGAGGCATTCAATTTCGCTGAGTCCATAAAAAATGAGCTGCAGAGAATGCTGTTGCCTGCATTAATTAAGGTCAGAACGAGTCTGAACAAATTTAGATGGCAATTTGTTCATAACAAGATCGAGACCTTATTAATGCAGGCAACGGCGTTCTCTGTAGCTCATATTTCTGATCGACTCAGCGAAATTGAATGCCTCGCCTAATGCCGTAGGTTGTCTGTCTATATTATAACCGAGCAACTTCTTCACAACGCTCAAATGCTCGCGTTGTCGCCTCAGCGCAAACTTCTCGTGGTTACGAGAATTCCACTTGCCATTAGTTTGATAATCCTCTTGGAAAGCAACACCCTCCTCCATAAAAAACTCCATTATCTTATTGATGAGTTGCGGGCCGATGACACTAAGCATACTTGTCTTGTTTTTGCATTCCGGCACGACATCCATGACGTGCTGGATAGAGAGTGAGCGATGATCGTCTCTCCCTCAGTTTAACTTCCATATAGCTAATATGAGCAAATACCTCACATAAGTCTGAAATTAAAACGACATATAAAAAAAATAAAAGTTGACCGACCATAAATTAATGAACTAAAAAAATTTTTGGAATAGAAGTTTGTTGAGTACAACTTTACATAAATCTTATTCAATATATTTTATTTTATTTTGCTTTCCTGAAATGATATTGTTTTATTTGATTGTGAAACTCACAAGGAAAAAAGTTTTGTGGCTACTGTGTGTGTGGAGGGAGGTGCACGATAGGTGGATAGTTTTTTATCCTCAAGGTAAAAGTGGTGGGTTATTTTTGTGTTGGGCTACTTGGCATTCTGTAGTTCGAGTGGTGATTAATCAATTTTGCATTCAGATTCAATGTGATTGGGGTACCTCAGTAGGAAGGTTTTGGTTGGTTTTTGTTTATGTTAGTGTGCATAATGCAGTGAGACTCCAACAATGGGATTATTTAAGGAGTCAGAAACCTATGTGGGGTAGCTATTTGTGGTGATTTTAATGATAAATTAGGTGATGGCTAAATTTCCAACTAGTCAAGTTGAACACATTTATTATAGATCCTCTTCTAATCATCATCTATTGGTGTGCAATATGAAACGTGGTGAAAGGTTCAAGAAAAAGAGATTCTTTTTTGATAGAAGATGGGTCGGGATGGAGGGGATTAATGATGTAGTGGAGGAAGCTTGGATGAGATACGTGTCAGGTTACCCTTTGTGCAGAGATTAAAAAAAAAAAAAAAAAAAATTGAAGGAGTGGGATTTTAAAGTGGAATATGGTAACAAATCCAATTCTACTGTTACTATTGAAAGATACTGACACGTGTCAAGGCCAATTTAATAACAAAATTCGTTAAATTGAAAAAAGAAAAGAAGAGTTGCATATTTACAAATGAAAGATAAAGATGTCGTGCTTTGGTAAATTTCTCTACATTTATACAGCTCATTTTCAGAGTCCACACTAAAGATAGAGATGGATCGGCCCGCGTACGAAAAAGTCAAGATGGCCCACAAATTCTATTGGAATAACAACAATATTCCAAACCCTAAGGTAGTCAATGTCGGCGGCTATCTACACGCACACACACATTCTATTGGAATAACAACAATATTCCAAACCCTAAGGTAGTCAATGTCGGCGGCTATCTACACGCACACACACATTTTCTAGGTATCGTATTCGTTCTAGTTCCTCTCCCCTCAAACTCAATCCTTATCCAAAGCCGAGGTGCCTTATTCCGGCAAATTGGTATCGAACAAGCTTTTTTTAATAACTATTGTATTACGATGAACGCCTGCAAATTGTTGTAATCGTTGATTTTGCAGGAGCCGTGCATGCCAATATCAATTGAATCGTGAGAGTTTACTGCTGTTCTTCTTTGATGGAGCTATGAAGTATAAAGCTCCCCGTGGATATAAATCTAGAGAATGAGTTATCGCCGACTGCTTATTATCCTTCCTCAACCTTTTTCATATCGATAATTAGGGTTTTCATATCAATTAGGGCTTTTTCAATAGTTATTCGGAAAAGCTTGTCGGATACCGATTCGCCGGAATAAATAAAAAAACTCGGCTTTGAATGAGGATTGAGGGGAGAGGAACGATACCTGTAAAATGTGTTTGTTTGTGCATGTAGATAGCTGCCGATGTTGACTAGTCAATAGAATTCGTGGGCCGTCATAACTTTTATGACTTTATTGTACGTGAATATTCACTGTTGGGCCGATCCATCTCTATCTCCATATTGGAGTTCGAAAACGGGCAGTATAAATGTTATGGGCTCAAAATTTTCTGCTTAAAAGTTATAGGCTACGTTTGGTTATTGGCGGTTGGGCAAAAAATATATTTAAAGAGAAAAATTAGCTCACAATTCAACCTTCATTAGAATATATCATACAGATGAAATGACTCCTATTGCGAATCCACACAGTTGTGTTTTTTTATTTTTTAATAAATAAATAAGTTCCAAATACATGAGCTCATCTCTTCTTTTCAAACATCATATAAGGTATCTGACAGAACAGTTGCAGATCAGTAAGTTAGAGCTCCGAAACTAGCTGATAGTTGATTGTGAAAATTAGAGATTAAGTTTTAAAAAGAAAAAACAATTACCTGACATAATCTTACAGAGAATTCCCATTTAGAAAGAAAGCCTACAAAGTTGAACCAACAAATTGAGTAGAGGAAAATAATATGCATAGAACAAGAGATAGAAAAAACATGTGTTCTTACGTACCAAATGAAATTATGAACAAATTCTGAACACACCCGTGCACATGTATGTATAACAGCCAACTATTTTTTAATAGTTATCCATACATTATCTTAGCATTAATAGCAAAACACAATATTTTAGAAGCCCATAGCATAAAGCAATAAACATTGAAAATATCCAATAACAGAATAACAGAGTAGATAGTCAGGGTGTTTCTAAGTTCTAAGTTCAGGGAAGCCCAAATCAACAGAGCAATGGACATTGTAAAAACCAGGTAGAGGAAGGTCCCATGATCACTATAGATTTTAGAGACCTTAGTCTCACTTGAACTGCTTTTTAGGCAGGTTAGTAAGGACCATCAAATGCTGATCATAAACACACACTCGTGTAAAGAAGTACCTTTATTATTTCATTGTATTGTTCCAACTTTTCTATCACTTGGGTGGAGTCCACAACAAATATATGACCAGCATGATCCNCATTTTTTGGGATTCCGTTCCAGGAGCACTACCAAAGTGTTTCCGGGGTGGGGTTATCTTGACGTAGGTTTGCCTCTGGCCTAGATCTTTTAAGTTAAACGCTCTCTCGTTCGTAAAATCTGAAACTTCATACACCTTAAAGTTCATAAGACGAAAAGAGATTTTTGAGGACCTTATACTCATTATGCCTAGCATTGAATGGGCTGGTAATTCACCCTATCAATATCTTGAATCAAGGGTGGAGTCTGTTTGGTACCTAAATGGACACCCAAACCAGACCGAGCCCTTTGTCAGGCTGTTGTTCCCCCAAGTTTTGGAGTAAGACATTGATTTTTCAATAAGATCCGTTTTGTGGATTGTATGATGGACCCCCCAGAAAAACATCGGCGCGCGTGTAAACGAGGTGCTCTACCAACTGAGCTATAGCCCTTAGTAAAAGTAAAGTAACTGTGATGCATATTATATCATATATATTATATAATTTGTTGTCAAGATGAATATGATATGATCCAAGACCAACAATTTTTGAGTGATAATGATTATTATTTATTGCTTATAAGGAATATGATATTTATAATTCATTGGTGAGAGAGAGAGAGAGAGAGCAATTAGCATGCCAAGGAAATGAGCAATTAGCACATCCCAGTCTACTTCATACAGGTCAGGAGTAGGTTTGTGATGCACCCATTGTCTACCTAAAGGAAATGACATTGAGAATTCAACTTCCAAGCACACAAAAGAAAATATAGGCAAAACTCAAGAACATTTAGTTAGAAATCCAGTAAAGTGTTGCAACATATGTTTCTCAATTGGTAAGCAAATACTTGAACCCTGAAGGAAATATATTGTATCAAGGTCTTTCACATTGAAAAGAAGGATAGGGAAAATATGTCATGAAATAATGCGACAACAGTTATGCCCATGTGTCATTCCCCATCATCACCATAGGCTTTCCGTGTTGAACCAACTACAGGTAAGACTTGTTGAAAATGTATGACCTAGTTGATTTAAAAGAAAGAAACAAAGAAATAAAACTAAATATTCAAGATATTCATTAAAATATAAGCAAGACTTAATTTTAATACACCCCTCTTAGATTTATCTCCTTTATCAAATTTGAGAGAAGTTTCACACACTATAGCTATGGAGTGTATTACCTGACCACAACAATAATTTAAAGGAACCTAGTTATTGAAAAAGTGGATACCTACACAAAATAAAATTTATATCAACACCATATTCGAATAGTTATTAAGTTAAAAGAAAAACTCAAACAAAATTCGAAACAATGAGTACTCTAAACCAACCTCTGTGTCGAGCGCGACCTCGACTTTTACATCGGCATCGGCCTCGACCATGAGTACTCACGCTTTTCAATTATGTCGTCCATTAAGATCCTCTCACGTACCATTTTCTACCAGTTCAATATCTCAAAAGTACTCTATCGCTTAGTGCGTTAGATAGCCCGTAAGAACATTACATGCAATGAGATCCTAGCTCACAACTAGATCACCAATATCCATTCGCCCACCACCACGTCCCCACCGACCACGACCTAAAGCACGGTCACTACGACGGTCACATCAACTGGGCTGAGGTCTCTCAACATCATATACCTAACTAATTTTGTTCGAAGACAACGAACGACATCATATACCGAATTAATGTAACCAACGACATTCACTACAAGTCAATTTTGAGTACCCCAGCAAAACTAAATAGCTCACTAAATTCATTAGGTGACCTATCGAGAATATGACCGAGTTAGTTTTAATTTAGTGTATGGCTCGTGAAGAAATTGTTGGATCATGTTGTCGACAAATCAGCTAATGAATCTAGTTAATGAAGAATCTAGTGAGCAATTCAATTTTAATAAGGCACTCAAAAAATGAGCAACAAAGTTAATACGAGCGAGAACGAGTCTAAATGTCGAGAGTATGGGCGGTCATCGTAGTGGGCATGCACGAGGTCATGGTCGACGGGGACATGGTGGGCAAAGAAAGGTTTCGAGGATCCAGTTGCAAACGATTACTTCTCACTCGCGCAGCACACACACATAGTATTTTTTGTTGTTTTCAAAATCAAACAAACACACTGACTATCCGCACACACACTTATACATACCTTCACATACACACACCGTTTTTCATTTGATACAAAAACTAAATCAATTGAAAAACGGTGTATGTATGTTTGTGAATGTGTGTGTAAGTGCGTGTGCGGATAGCCAGTGTATTTGTTTGATTTTGGAAACAACAAAAAATATTAGGTGTGTGTGCGGCACGAGTGGGAAGTAATTTTGAGGTATGCAGTGTGTGTCTGTGTGTATATTTGTGAAGGTGTGGTTAAGTGTGTGTACAGATAGCGTGTGTGTTTGATTTTGAAACAACAATGTGTGTGTGCGGCGCGAGTTGGCGGTATCCGCACACACAATATTTTTTTGTTGTTTTCAAAATCAAACACACACGCTATCCGCACACATACTTAACCACACCTTCACAAATGTACACACTGCACACACCTTTTTTCATTTGAAAAACAATACCTTTCCACCTGAGGGTGAGTTTGTTCTTTTAATTTTTTTTTTCAAAAAACACACACAAATACATACTTTCCTAATTTTTTTTCACTTCCCACAAACACTTGCTTCAACATTTTTTCCTTTCTTTTTTTATTTTTATTTTTGTTGTTCTAAAAGCTTGAAATTTTATTTTGCATCATGGGAGCAATGAGCTTCTCGTGGAGAAAAACTAATCTGCTCCCACCTCTTCGGGGTCAAAGAAGGCCACGTAAGTTTTCAATTAGTATTCTTAATTATTAATTATTTTTTTTCTAATTAATTAAATTTTTTTTCGGTAGCCTCTATGTGTTACAGAAACAGCCTCCTTGTATAATTACAAGGGTAAGGTCTCCCCAGACCCCAATATGTTGGGAATATACTGGGTATGTTGTTGTAGCAGCCTCTATGTGTTACATAGAATACAAATTGAGGAGCATTGAAAATTTTAGAAGAGTTTCGCTGGAAAATGAGTTAGATGCAGTGCCGACAACTAAAACATCTCCAGCTGGGGAAGATCGTAATACAAAGTTTACCGAGTAGCTAGGAGAGGTTGGGATGGCGCCCAAAAAATATTACAATATAGAGAGTCATGGCAGAGAGAACTTGATGAGATTTTCAAGCTTGGCTGGGAAAGAACTACACGTGGTACGACATTTGATTGGAGAGGTGGTGATTGGAGAGGTGGTACCACCTCTCCAATCAAATGTCGTACCACGTCTAATCCTTTCTCATACAACCTTAAGTTTAATCCTTTCTCATACAACCTTGAAAACGCCCTTGAAAACGCTAATCCTTTCTCATACAACCTTGAAAACGCCATTATGTTCTATGTCGTATGACTATCCGTACCATACTTCTTCAGACGTCATCCCGACCTCCCCTATCCACTTGGTAAACTACCTACCACAGCCCGACATATTTTAGTTGTCAACACTGCATCTAACACATTTTGCAGCGAAACTCTCCTAAAATTTTCAATGCTACTCAATCTGTACTCTATGTAACACATAGAAGCTATCAATTCACACACAATAGAAAAAAAAAACAAAATTAATTAATTAGAAAAAAATAGTTAAAAATTAAGAAAACTAATTGAAAACTTACG